GAGAGAGAGAGAAAGAGAGAAAGAGAGAGAGGGGGGGAGGGGGGTAAGACATCGAGAGAGTGGGGCTTTCTAACGTTTTGTTGAGTGAGAGAGAGGGACAATGAGGCCTGTCACAACCCCAGCCCTTCCGCTAAGCAGCCGCCTCTCTGTTGTGGCTAGGCCGCCGCTAGGAAGCAACCTCTCACGTTCCCCGCGAAACGCTGCGCGACCGTGGAAGCGAAGTCTACCACAAAAACACAGACCTACGTTCATCAAAGCCAAAAAAATAAAACACACGACTCGAGTCGTCAAGAATACTCAATGATAATCACAATAAAGCCACGCATAGTTGGCCCTAATGATATTTACGGACACTACAAAAATGTACGTTAGACAAGAAAACGTCCATGACTGACAAGGAAAACAACTTGAGATCCCTTTCGGAACGCATGCAATGTGTGTTGGGCGCCAGGTACCGGCTCCGTGTAGTGCAACTTGTTGTGTTCAAACGGCACATCTCTAATATATCTTATTGCAGCCGATTTGTGATAAGAACTGAATCTCTAAAGTTCTCGTCTAGTTCTAGCCGTATAACCCCATGCTCTACACCATCGTCTCCCAGCCTAGAGAAGTAAACCCATAGTGCTCGAGAAAAACACTACGAGATACAATTATCTGCTCACGCTATTCCCCCCCCCCCCCCCAAGAGATTGAGTTGTAGGGGTGAATAATTTTGCGCCGCTGATTAGCCACGCCTTCGAGAACGTGACGCGAGGTCGGGAGAAAGACTCACTCGAATAGGACCCAGATGATGTAGTAGCAGATGACGACCCCGACGGTGAGCATGGCGCCCATGAGCGCCAGCAGCATCCAGGGCGAGGCGCGCGCCTCCACCGGCGAGTCCTCCCAGTAGCGGTCGCACGTCAGGTACCAGCACGAGGCGCGGTTCAGCTCCTCTGGAAGCAGCGAAAGGACACGTTTGAGACAGGCTCAGCCCCGAGTTGTGCACTACTTCGGTGTGGATGCGGAGCGGCGGGGATGCCGCCGCCTCGCCTCGTCACTCACTCACCCTCAATCTCCTTGAAGTCTTGAACGGAGAGGTTTACCAAGAGGCCAGCTATGCAGTCCCTGACCAAGATCTGGAAACGCGTACAATTGCAGTTTGGTCATAAAGTGGCCTCCCGCCCCGCCCGGGGCGCTCGCCCATCGCCCAGCCTGCCGGCGCAACCGGGCTCTCGGTCCGGCCGGCAACCGGGCTCTCAGCCTGCGTGGTAGGCAGACCCGCCGGACGCGGCTGTCGCGCGGGTCTGCCTACCGCGCACTCCGCAGGCGCCCGCCGCCGGAGGGGCCGGCCGGCACCCCGGCACCCGCCAGCACACTCACCTCGCAGCGCGTCTTCAGCTTGATGAGCTCCTCCGGCTTGCAGTCCGCCTTGAACCTCTGCATCTCGCTGAGCCGCTGCTGCTGGGGCTGCGGCTGCGGCGGCGGCACGCTCGAGTCCACCAGGGTGTCGCCCTGCTTGCCGCACATGTCGGCCGTTGCGTTGGCGTCCCCCTCGCGCTCCTTGCTGCCGCCCTGCTGGCACACACACACTCACGGTGAGCTGCACGGCCCTGCACACCACCCTCACGCACACCTGGACGGGACGGGCGGACTCACCGGCAGAGGCGGACACCTCGGCGTCTGAGGCTGTTGTTGCTGCTGCTGCTGCTGCTTCTGTTTGCGCTGCTGCTGCGGCGGCTGTGGCGGCGGAGCCTTGAGCGAGGGGAAGGCCGTGACCCGCGCCAGGTCGCGGGGCGCGGACACGGACAGCGCGGTGCGGTGCGCCATGTTCTGGCTGGACCGCCACACCTCGATGTCCGTGCCGCTGCCGCCGAGGCCGGGGCTGTGCGCCTCGCGGGCCGCCAGCACCTCGCACCGCATCACGTCGCAGTAGTCCGCGAGGCAGACCGCGTCCTCCGCCTGTGGGCCGGCGTACACGCACTCACGCGGTCAGCGCCAACAAGGACACCCTGCTACCACACACACGACCACCACGACTTCCGGCCTCACCATGTTGATGGAGTCCCGGTGCCTGCTATCGAAGTGCTGGTCCAGGTGGTGCTCGGTGTAGAAGCTCTTGCCGCAGAAGGCGCACGCCCACTGCGACGGCCGGTGCTGCTGTTTGGCGGCCTGCTGCGCGCCGAAGATGTCCCTGCTGGGGTGGAAGGGGCACTCGAGGCCCAGCTTCACCGACCTCTTCTCCAGGACCGGCAGCCATTTCTGCAACGCGGTGTCGCGGAGTGAAAGGACGTCGAAAAGGGAGAGCAAGAAGCGCTCTCGAAAGCTAAAATTGAACGGAGGTACTGACCTTCTGGATGAGCTTGCGCACGATCCTGGCGCTGTCCCGCGGGCAGGATATCTTAAAGACCGTGGGTCCGGGCCACGGGATGAGGATGAGCACCAGGAGCGCGACGATCTGCAACGGCGCACACACATTAGGGCGAGGGCGAGGGCGAGGGAGTTGAGGGGGAGGAGGGCGGCGGGGCGGGGGCGTGCCGGCTGGAGCCGGGGCGGTCCGTCCCGGGGCGGCCCGCGCGGTGGCGACCAGGGTCCGTACCAGCCGGAGCACTAGCGAGCCATGCAGTTATGAATGAGTAATTCCGAGAGGGGCTGGTAAGGCGAGGGCCTCGCAGAGAGGGTATCGCAGCGGACGGCGAGCCTACAACCGAGCGTATCGACGTGCCCGCGCTGTTATCGATTTTCTGGCCACATGAGCCAGCGGCACTATTGGGGCGTGGAAAATGCAAAGAAAGACAGAAAAAGGAGTGAAAGGTGCGGGTCGAGGGCCTCCGGCGGGCCGGCGGGGGGCACAGATGGTCTAGGGGAAATGAGGACCGGCTGAGGCCAAGGCGTCCTCCGCTTCGTCCTCCGGGGCTCCAGTCGAGCAGGCTCCAGCAGACGACGCGAGACAGGGTGGTAACTCTTGGACCTCGCTCTTTACAGACGCACCAACGCACCACGCAAGCGCTAAGCGAGACAACGTTACCTCCAAGGAGAATGATTGGGTCCTCATTCATATTCCTCTAAGCCTGTCCACTGATCATACAGCCGTTTCCTTTGGAAACTGAAACGGCAACCCTCCAACGTGACTGTCACTTGCAACCCCAAGGTCCGCACTACCCCGAAGGCCGCACCACCCCTGCCAGCACACCCCCGTGCCGTGCACCTCCCACCCCCTCCCACCAACCACACACCTCCTCGTCAAAAGTACTTCTGAGATGAAGCGTTTGGAACTTATGCAGAAGGCTTGTTGGACTCACAGAGATTTTGGCTATTAATAATAGTTTTTCATTAAGAATGCTCGAAAGTGAAACGCTCGGGGTGTGTCCGGATATTCCGACTTTTCCCTTAAATTGACATATGAATTAGTTGGGGGCTTGACTTACTGTGTACACTATATGAGAAATTGTGCAGAACAAGAAGAAATTTCGAAAACAAAGTAGGATGTTGACGGCCGATTGTACAGCTTTTATGCTATATTTGTGGAAATACCTTTATGAAATGTGACATATTGTGCACATTGAACAGAATTTTCGTGTTGCTATGGATTCTACACTCTTCAAATTGATATCCTCTTTACTTTTGAGAAATTACTGATGTACACAATCCACTTATAGGTTATGTAAAGACAACAGACAACACTTAATTGTTTATATTATTATCCGAGATTTATTAAAATGGCAACAAGATGGAGCAGCGAATACATAGTGGCAGAGCATCGAGATCTGCAGGTAAATATTTTGCCTCATTTTTGAAATGTGTCTCTCGTATATATGTATTTATTTTCTTAACTCTTCAGATTTCCTTATTTCTAGTTAAATATTTATTTATTTATTGTCAGTCCCACTTTCCGAACAATGTTAACCCCGTTGAATGTCGTTTAACAACATTCACTTTTGCCCACTTTCATGTTTTTGATATCCATTTTTATTTTTAGGCCAATGCCATGGCTGTCGATTACACAGGAAATTATGTACTTTTAGCTGGGTATGAATAATGTTTGCTTCCGTTACAGTTTGCTACTGATTCTTAATAATATGTGTTCGTAATAAATTCTTTATTTTTTCCTTTAGCCGGAGATATTTGGCCATTAAAAATTTGAGTGAACAATCTGATAGGTTGCACAAAGTAGCTCGTCAAAGCAAATATGAAGTTGGGGCTGCAGAATGGAATCCTAATCCATCACACAAAGAACTTTGTGCTCTCTCTGTGAGTAATTCTTCTACAGTGAAGCAAACCAATTGTTGTCAAAAGTTAAATGAAGTATTCTTTGTGATTTTTATTGTAGAGTAATCAACGTGTGGAAGTTCTTTGTTGGCACAATGGAGACTTAGAACAGCGTCATTCATTGAAATCACATACCCGTGTTGTCAGTGATGTTAATTGGCACAGGTTTGATCCAAATTTGTTAGCCTCATGCTCAATTGACACATTTATTCATGTTTGGGATATGAGAGATACCCGTAGACCAGCACAATCTCTCAGTGCAGTTGGTAAGAATTTATAAATTCCTTTCTTTGTTTTTCAAATAAATCTAATCTAAACTCATCCATCATTTTGCTTTTATCTTTGCAACTATAGCCGGATCCACTCAAGTTCGTTGGAATCGCCTTTCTAGTTTTTTATTGGCCACAGCTCATGATGGCGATATTAAACTTTGGGATCAACGAAAGGGAACTGCTCCTGTTGTTTATATTTCTGCTCATTTAGCAAAAGTAAGTCAACACTTACGAACAATGGTTTTCATACTACCTATGTTGTTATAAAATCATTTTTGTCTAAATTTATCTTTCTTTTTTACCACTTAGATTCATGGACTAGATTGGAGTCCTCTCCATGAAGACCAGTTGGCAACATCTAGTCAAGATGGAACAGTTAAACTATTTGACATTACAAATCCTCGGAAAGCAGAGGGATTGTTCACAACAACACTACCCGTCTGGAGAGCAAGATACACTGTTAGTATTTGTACCTGATAAAATGTTTTCTTTTAAAAAGGAAAAGAAAAAAAGAGAAGATTTGTGGAAATTTGAAATATTATTCTGTTTGCAGCCGTTCGGGGAAGGCCTTGTGACTGTTGTAGTTCCCCAGTTAAGAAGGGGAGAGAATAGCCTTTTGCTATGGAACATCAACAATCCATCTGCTCCAGTTCACACTTTTGTTGGCCACACTGATGTTGTTCTTGAATTTGAATGGCGAAGAGTTAACCAAGGTAAAAACTTGTATGTTTTCATAGCGCCTCTACATGAAATCTTTCAAATCATTATTTCCTTGGTATATTTGTAAATAAAAAATGTCTAAAACAAAATTGTTTTACAGATTCGTCTGATTTTGAACTTATTACATGGTCACGTGATCAAAGTCTTAGAATATGGAGAATAGAACCATTTTTGCAAAAAGTATTGTTTGCATTTCTATTTTTATTTTATTTTTAACACCCAGTCTTCTGTCTATCATCAGTTTTAATTTATTTGTCTTGTTTGTTTTAGTTGTGTGGTCATGAGCCTGACATGGACCATGTTTTGGACTCACAGGATCTTATTGATGATCTTCCTCTTAGTAATCATGATGCTTCTCACAATGATTATCAACGTCATAGATGTAAGCAGGAACCATATGAAAACTTTGAAACTTGTCATTCAAACTTTGTTGTTGTATTTTTTGTTGTTATAGATCCTGGGCTTGTGAGTGGCCCTACAACTCTCTTATCATTACTAGCAAACACTGATTTTGTTTATTGATCTTTCAGATAATGAGAACTCCATGGCACATAACCTTCAGCAACTCACTTTGGATAATGCCTCTGTTCTCTCTGAGATGTTGTCTGCTAGTGGACGCAATTCATTGTCTTTGTCTTTGGATGGTGCATCAGAAACTACTGATGACAGCCAGGGTGGAAGTGTCCTTGGAGTTGGAGGGGGTGGTGGAGGCAGAGGTGGCAGCAGTAGTATGAGCAATGGTAGTGCCACTAGAGGTGGTAGTGGAGATAGTGGTGGTGAAGAGAGGATGCCATCAGTACGTTCTCCTACTCAACCCAAAACATTACAACAGGAATTTGCTCACATAAACCTCAATGTGACTAATGTTGATATTGATACGGTAGGTACATCATATATATTTTATAAATTCCTTGCTAGGGTGGCAAATTTTTAAAATTCAGATCTAATCTAATCTCATTTTTAATTGTTACATGTGTACCTTAACTTTTTCTAGATGGATCCAGTAGGACGGGTATGCACTGTTACCGTATCTGCCAATGGCCATGTTGCAGTTTTGCAAATAACATTTCCAGCCAATTATCCCTATAACAATGCACCCTCCTTTCAATTCATTCAAGGAACTTCTTTGAATCCTGCCAGCAAATCCAAATTACAAAAGGTTAAGTTCGTTGATATCATTCATTGTTAACATTTTGTTTCTCTTAAAAAGAATATGTAATAATTTTGTTTTCACTAGGTTTTAAAACACACTGCTCAACAAAGGGTGCGTAAAAGTCGTGTTTGCTTGGAAGCTTGTTTAAGGCAACTTGTATCTTCTCTGCAGCAGGTAAAACGTGTGACCTGTGTAGACCCCTAAAAAAATAATGTTACTGTATCATTTTTTCATATTGCCTGAATTTTTGTTTGACTTTTTTAGCTATCTTTGTCTGAGGATAATGAGAGTAAGACAGCCACTTTTCTGCGGATGCAATCCCAACCAACTCCATATATGGACGCCAGCAACATGTATCGTAGTTTCCAAGACACCAATGTTCCATTTCCTCGAACATCTGGTGCTAAATTTTCCGGAGCTGGTATGAAAAATTATACCTTAATAACTTATAATATGATGTTGTTT